CTTAAGTAGCGTTGTAAAGAATGTAGACGTTATCATTTATTAGGACATAACTTAATAATTCTGATTTGTAACTGATTTTCTTCAGTTCGTTCTAGTTCTGCTCGAAGATGTAAAACGTGAGTGTGATCCCTTGCCCGCAGTATTATCAGCAGCACTACATTAGTAATTGATCTAACTTTGTTCTGACAAACATTAACAGCCATGAGACAAGAAGTTTCTTCTGTAAAAAGCACACCGTGTGCGTACACGTGAGGGAGTGCTGAACGCAAAGTCTATAGCTACTTGTTTCTCTTAATGACGCTCGTATACTCACCCACACCAGATCTTGAAAACCATGTTCATCATTATTTAGTCCTCCAGTCGACGCCTTTGTTTGCAGAATGCCAGCCACAAGAACAGCAGGGATAAAGAGGTTCTCTGAGAGCGAGCACACGCCCGTGTAATGGATTAAAATCACTAATCAGCAGTCGACATAACCGTCATAAGTGTGTGTGACGTGAAAAAAAAGATAGCTATATTGTATATATATATATTGGGTGGCATTCGTTGAATTGGCGACAAAAATACCGGTGCAAAAAAGATAGCCCAATAAAAACGCATAAAAAGACGTTAAAAATAAACCGAAGCCTAAACCTCTGCTTGGAGAGTATTTTTCTGATGCCCAATCCATGTTTCTTGTTCCCACAAGTAAATGAATGTACGGGTGGGTTGTACATTCAATGGATATTATAAAGGAGCAAGACAAAGGTTTCCTTCCTCATACATTGTCTTGACAACAATGTTAGATTGATTTGTGCAGTGCGCCCCCCTCCCATAACCCAACGTTGTAAATGACTAGTGACCATTTAAGACATATGTATATCATGAGAAAAAAATTAAGAGATATGACTTCTATATCTATTTGACGAACACACATATCAGTCAAATAGGGATAGAAGCACTTCGTAGCTTCAATATTTGTCTGTTTTGGTAGTTAAATTTAAAAGAATTGACATCATGATGTATTAACGGAAATCCTCTGAATAGAATATGGAGTTTGGGCTAGACTTTAAGAATACACATTCCTCAAGTTTCAAGTTTTATTAATAAAATCAGCCTTGCAGCCAGTTCACAAGTCAACCAAGCTGAATAACACTGATTTTTACAATTTTGTACATAGTAAATACAAATACACATTTACATTACAAAACATATACAGACACGTAAACAAACATGTTACAAAGCCACACATGGGCACTGGAATAAAGTCCAGAGAGTCTTGAAAGTGGTACTGCAAGGACTCGTTGTACAGGCATATTGCCTTCAAGTTTGAAGTCCTGCTGCGGTATAAAGGGAAGACACTAGGAGGGCCCAAATCGACGTTGCGTCTGTACCACATAGCTTATTAGAAGAAAAGATGGCTGAATTTGTGACCTCGTTAAAAGTAGTACTGACACCGAATATAAATCTACGACAGTTCTGCCTTTGCCGTACCACACTTAACTATCACGGTACTGACTTGCTGAGTAAATTGAACACCTGAGTGGCGATATGCCTGCAGTCAGGGTAAACAGGGCGGAAGTGCTGTGTCTCATGTCGGCATGTTCAGAAGTCAGAATGGATTGGTAACTCGTTGCCAGGAAATTGTTACATTAATTCCACCCGTTTTGATACTTCCGGCTTGCCATATTATCTGAGGTAATGGGGCTGAGCGACGTGAGAGGAAAGTGGATGATACGGACCGTATGCTGCAGAACAGAAAAAGACATTAAAACATTCATTGCTGTGTGCATTTTCTTTCATAAAATATGTCGTCATGACAGACGAGCTGCCGAGAAACTATATGAAGGAGGTTCACCTGCGCCGGATATTGTTTTTGGTCTGTATGTTTGTGTTTCCGCATACTGTAGAACCCAGGAAGGCTACAAATGCATGGATGGGTTGTAATCGCATACATCATAGTATATGGTGTTTGGGTTGGAGTTAAAAAGTCCATGACCAAGGTTGATTTTGTGAGTTCTAATGGTTTCCCTTGGTACTGCAGCAGAACTTTAGAAATATGAATTCTTAAAGTCTTGGCCACACCACATGTAGCACAGCAGCAGCTGTAGGTTCATTTATTACCTTCGCCAAGAAGGTTATGTTTTCAGTAGCGTTTGTCTGTTTGTCTGTCTGTCTGTCTGTTTGTGAACAGCATAACTCAAGAAGCTTAATATGTATTGTCATGAAACTTGGTAGGTGGGTAGGTCTTGATGAGACCTAGAAATGATTAGATTCTGGGCCCCCTGGCGGCTTTTGTTGGTACTGCAGCAGAACTTCCGGTTTTGATATCTCGCGATCTGGACATGCTAGGGTCACGAATTTTGGTTGGTAGATAGCTCTTGAGGTGGGGAAGAAGTGACATGAGTTTGGGCCCCCTAGCAGCTTGTTCTGGAACTGCAGGAGCGTTTCTTGAAAAATCTCCGAAGGTTGATAACTCAAGAACCGGTTGACGGATTGTCATGATTTTTGGTATGTAGGTAGCTGAAGTGATACTTGACATAATCAGATGACAATTATGCAAATCAGGAGCTAATTTGCATAATTAATGAGGACATTCTATAAATCTGCTTCGTTCGATTATAGGACTTTGAAACACTTGTGACATGTAA